ACTTTTCTTTTTCCAACACATTAATATACTCTCTTACTTGCTTAAATTAAATGATCTTACTTGCTTATTATGATTTGAAAAATCATAATACACATATTATTCATAAAAATATGATAACTGAAAACTGCTTAGGATTTCATTGTGATCATTGTTAACCTCTGGATATATCCCACTCATGATATACAGTTAAAAATTACTCTGTTTTAAAATCACTTGAAATAATTCCTCTGTATGGTTAAGCCACAAGTCGATACACAATAATATTCGTTTATTTTGCTTTTAATTTTTGTTTTAAAATTAGATTAAATATCTACAGAATTCCAAAATGAAAACCACAAAACAAAATAGGAGAAATGTAGCTTCCATCCCTGTCCCCACTACCCTAATTTCTAACCATTTTGGTTACGTTTTAGCTTACCCCTCTATTTTTAAATTTAAGCAAATATAAAAACATGCACATATTTTATGTGCTACTATACACATGGTTCTTCACCTTACTTCTGTTTTATTAACAGTATTTTGGAGATTGCTTCATAGCAGCATGTAAAGATCTTTCTCATTCTCTTCATCAGCTGCAGAATACTTCATGGTTTATTCAACCAGTGCTCTATTAATGGACATTTAGTTTCTTTCCTGTCTTTTGCAATTATGAGTGGTGTTGAAATTAATACATTTGAAATTAATAGCTTTTCACATTTTTCCAGTGTTTCTTTGGGAAAGATTTCCCAATGGTAAATGGTAAATGGTAAAGGTAAATGCATTTGTAATTTTCTTAGATGCCAAATTCCTCTTCATAAAGTTTGTACCATTTTGCATTCATACCAGCACCTGTTCTTCACAGTCTTACCAATGCAGTAGGCTATCAAAATTTTGGGGTTTTATCCTCATGATAGGTGAGGATTTATATGTCCCTGTGGTTTGACTTAGTACTTCTCTTATTATAAGTTGAACATTTGTTCATATGTTTAGGGGACATATGAATTTTTTTTGAAAACCAACTATTTATAAGGTGTCCTTTCCAGTAGAGTTCTTGGTCTTTTACATTTCAAATTTTAGAAGCCCTTAATATATTACAGATATTAATTCTTTGTACTATAAGTCACAGATATTTTCCTTAGTTTGTCATGTTTTATTTTGCTTATGGTTTGGGGGGTTAATATGTAATGAAAGAGAATGAACTGAAAGTGGGTCTCAGGTGTGGAACCCAGGGTGTAGATTAGAGCCCCAGCATGGTATACAGGGGTAGACTGCTCTTTCCCCAGGGTGAGGGATGACCTGGCCACTATGTCATTGCTGGAAGATTTTACCTTAGGTTCACACAGCCCTAGGGAAATGCAGAAGTTTCTTGGCAGCCTCTGGAAGCATGGACTCCGGACAAAGTATTTTTATCCATTAGTGATTTGTCATTAGTTAAGTTTGTTCTCTTCTGCCATACATGGGCATTCGCCTTTCAGGGTTAAGTCTCGTTTCAGGTCACCTTTGCACAACTCTGCAAGTTGAAAAGTACAGCATCCATTATTTCCTTGTCCCAATGCTGAAGGCTAAATTTGTTGTATATGCTGTTGAGTGACTCAGCTGGCTCTAAACACAATTGAGTTGTGTTCAAGCTTTGCTCCTTCTGTGGCTGCTGATATCCCTGAGGTTATGTTTACACTACACAGGAAAACTGATTGAAATGGAGAAAAAAATCCAACTCAGTAAGATGGTTATTTATCTGCATTGTGTCAAACAACTGAGCTGATTGAATTTTTGAAAATATAAAATTGGCTCACAACCATAAAGAGAATACTGGGACCCAGGTCCATTTTCCAAGTCTGGCATGGGCCAGCTGTGCAACTTTGGACAACCACTTAGCCTCTCTAGAGTTTATGGATTCTTGGAAGTGGAAGATACTCACTCTCATCTCTTTCAACTCCTTTATTTTACAGATGAAGAAACTGATTCTTCATCTGTAAAACGAAAAGTTTTAACTAGAGCTCTAATATCCTTCCAGCTCTAATGTTCCATGACTCTTATTTCTGTGAGATTGGTTTTTATTTTAAAGCAAGCTATTGTTTTAAAGAAAATAGAAGTCACCCCAAAGCCTGCCACCCAGATAGTCTGAGGTTCTAACCCCAACTCAACAAATGCTAGAGGTGATCTCAAATAGTAGAAACCTGCACATGAACATGAACACTTAAATGGCCTTCTGTTACTGGAGTTAATTGTCATATTAAAACATGCTGAACCCACTCTCTGCTAAATTGGTGCAATTTAAGATCTTCAACAACCTTAAAACACCTAGTTAATCTTACCCCACAATTATTCATTTATTGCCTAAATTATCGTGACTCACTAATTCATGAAAGAGAACCTATGCCCTCCAGGTCTGCTATTTCTTGGCCTTTTTAAAATTAATTCTTTCCCATTTAGCCTTAGCTAAATCTTAGCTAGGTGTTATTATCTATTCATATTTATCTTCTATAGATACACATTTAGACTTAAATCTAATTCTCCCTGCATGTTTCAGACTGTTCCTCAGCCAATTTTTCATTTAGCTCTAGTTAGGATGATTTGACTATAATTTGATTAATTTTATTTCTTCGTTTCCTTACTGATGAAGATCTTGCTGATGATGT